GGGCTGGGCGGCGCCGTGGGCGGCGCCAAAGGCGCGCCAGTGGATCAGAAGCAGAGCGTCAGGTCCTTTGCAGCCGGAGGAGCAGATGAAGTTGCTGTTTGTTTCGAGCATGAAGGCTGTTACGAGGAAAATGAGCAGTGAGGAAGGACACACATCGGAATTCAAGGGACTCGAGGCCATGGGCGACGTCCAGGACGCGCGCGCGACCCACGTGGATGACATGATCGAGCATGAGGGGGCGCCTGCTGTTACGACGACTGGCGTGGACACGCTCGTCGAAGACGGCACCCATGGTGCTTCACGCCGAGTCCTGGTGCCAGGCACCACATGAGCCGAGGACGCCGTAGGCCAGCTAGAGCATACAAAGCTCCTGATGCGAGCTGTTATAGCTGGTCCGGTCCGCGACGACACCGCTGCGCTACGCGCACGTGCGGCGGATGCACTGATGCTGCCAGACACTGTGCGCGAGGCCAGCCAGCCTATCGGTGCCAACGACTGGGGCGGGCCCGATTCGCCCTGCCCAGGGTCTGCATCTTGCGGAGGAGGAGGAGGAGGAGGAGGAGGAGGAGGAGGAGGAGGGGGAGGAGGAGGAGGGGGAGGGGAGGAGGATGGGGAGGGGGAGGGGGAGGGGGAGGGGGACAAGCTATGTGCGCTCGCGTCATATCTGACGTCCTACCCCTCCCTCCCATCCCTTACCATGGCGCTGATTTTCTCTATCCGCGGACGCGTGTCGTAGCGGACCTGTGGCTCCGCGCGCGCGTGCGTAGTGGGTGGTGGTGCGCGTGCGTGCGTGCGTGTGTGCGTGGGTGTGGTGGTTGTGGTTGTGGTTGTGGTTGTGGTGGTGGTGGTGGTGGTGGTGGTGGTGTGTGCTGGTGGTGTGTGTGTGTGTGTGCGTGTGTGCGCGTGTGCTGTGGTGTGACGTGGTGTGGCGTCTTGGTGGTTTGGTGGTGGGCCAGGTGCGTGCGTGCGTGATGGCGGTGGTGGTGGTGGTGGTGGTGGTGGCGGTGGTGGTGTGTGTGTGTGTGTGCGTGCGTGCGTGCGTGCGTGCGTGCGTGCGTGCGTGCGTGCGTGCGTGCGTGCGTGCGTGCGTGCGTGCGTGCGTGCGTGCGAGCGTGCGTGCGTGCGTGCGTGCGTGCGTGCGTGCGTGCGTGCGTGCGTGCGTGCGTGCGTGCGTGCGTGTGTGTCTGTGTGCGCGCGCGTGTGATGTGGTGTGACGCGGTGTAGCGTGGTGGTGGTGGGTGGGGTAGTGGGGTGGTGGTGGCGGTGCGCGTGCGTGCGTGCGTGCGTGCGTTGGTGGGTGGAAGTGGCGGTGGGCGGGGCGGGGCGCGGTGCGGTGGTGGCGGGCGGATGCGCGCGCGAGAAGGAGGCCCGCGCTGGGGCGAGAACGCCATCCTGAACGACGGAGGCAAAACACCGATCCGAAAATCAGACCCACGCTGCAGCGGGAGCACGATTCGGAACGAGCGGGGCCCGAAAATGAGGCCGGCGTCTCAGTGAGAGCAGCATTTTGGGAACAAATGCAAGCGAAAACCCAACTCCCGGGAATCCTGTGCAAAAAAGCAGGACGCGGGGAGGGGGGGGGGGGGGGGGGGCGAACACTCCCAGCACGCATCAGGGGAAGGAGGGGAGAGTAGTTATATTCATATTGAGTATTGGTGGAGGAGGGGGAGGAGGAAGAAGAGGAGGAGGAGGAAGGAGGAGGAGGAGGAGGAGGAGGGAGGAGGAGAGGAGGAGGAGGAGGAGGAGGAGGGGGGAGGAGGAGAGGAGGAAGGAGGAGGAGGAGGAAGAGGAGGAGGAGGAGAGGCGCCTTCAGGAGAGGCGACGACGTCCTGGCAGGCGCGGCGCAGTACATTCGTCAGAGAGGGTGCGGTCGGGAGGCGGACTTCACGCCCCGCCAAAAGGACCACCTCAGGCGTGAGGAGCGCCGCTCCCGAGATCTCCTTGCTTCTCTACGCCAGCAGTGGCGGCAGGAGTGGGCGCGGGACCACCGCCCTTACACTGAAGAAGACCTCCGAGACGCCTGCGATCGGATCACGGTCGGAAAGGCCAGCGCAGGACTGCCGTACGCCTGCCTCAAAGAGATGCCCCAGGGACAGAGGGGGCTCCTCTTGTGCGTGCAAATCTTCGCCCGGTTTCTTATGGTAACCCCTGGCCTGTGGAAAGACCAGCCGACTTTTCACAAGCGGAAACAGGGGAAACCACAACAGCAGTACCCGAGCTAGCGTACCCTTTCTACGAACACCGTGGAACTCAGAGTGGCCGAGGAACTGTGGGCGCTGCACCACGAGCACGCACTCTGGCTTTCCGCGGGGGACTGCCAACTGGGCAGGGGTAAATCTCTCATCGCGGTCCTGCTCGGCGTCGAGACGCGGCTCATACGCGCAGACCTGGGCCTGCCCATCGCCGAGGCCTTCACAGACCTTGCGGAGGCGTTTGACACGATACACGCCCCAGCGGTTATCCTGGGCATTCGCGAAGGTGCGGGCCTCACCGGAGAGGACCTCGTGCTGGCCGCGCAGATGCTCCACGGCTCCCAGGTCCGCGTGGTATCGGGCGAGGCGCAGGCTGCCCCAGTCTCCCTTGCGGACGGGATGCCCGAAGGCCGGCGCCTCGCCCCAGCCTTCTTCGTCGCGGCGGCCAGGGCCTTCAGGGCGGCCGCTGGCCCCGATTGCGGCGGCGTCGGGCTCGACCCCCCCGCCGAGGCGGTCACCGCCTTCCACCTCGCGGCCCACGAGGACACCGGCGGGCCCCCCCCGTCCTGGGAATGGTGCACGCAGACCGCCCTCAGGTGCCGCCAGGGCAACCAGACCTGGGAGGCCGCCATGCGCGCAGCCCCCTCCCACGCGGACCAGTGCGCCCTCCTGGGCGCCGCCTCCACCCTGCGGGTCGGCTTCACACAGTTTATGGACGACAACGTGCACAGAGCCAGCTCCAGGGGCGGCCTCGACCTCTGCATCCAGCGCATCACAGAGGCAACCCAGTCGGTCCGAGGTGAGCTCCGCGTCGGGCCCGGGAAGACGGAGTGCATCAGCAACGGGATCGCGGACGTCCGACCGATCCGCGGCATCGCGTTCGCCACGCAGCACACGTCCCTGGGCATCCCAGTCGAGGCTGACGCCCGCATGATAGGCCTCCTCAGGCAGGTCGAAAACCGGGCGCAGGGAGGCTGGGCCAGCGCGCTCACGGCCATCGAGCACCTCGGCTTGCCCACCGCCGCCGCGCTGGCCGCCCTGCGCACGCGGACCACCCCGCGAGCATGCCATGGGGCGGCCCTGCTTATCGTTCGTGGCGATTGGGAGCGCCGTGTTGACGCCATCCTGGACCGGTGGATTTCACGGCTGCTCGACCTCTCTCAGCCGGTGCCGCGCATCGCCCTCCTCCGCGAAGGCGGGCTCGCATGGCGGCTGAGCACCAGCACCCTCCGCCACGCCTTCGGCCTCCACGCCCGCGCGCAGGCGCCCCCGCAGGCGGCGCACCCGGCCCGCGTCCTGCAAGCGGCCCGCGAGTGCCAGGGCACGTGGACGGCGGCGCTCGAGCACTACGCGAGCGACCTGGCCGCCCCCCTCTTCGCCGAGTGTGCGCGCGGCGCAGCCCCCGGCGCGTCCCGCGCGGGCCCGCGGGGGGCGGCCCGGGGCAGTTTGGAAACCAGGAGGTAGGGGATCTTGGGGGTACGCGGCTGCCACGGGGCGACTTGCACAGCGCCGGCCCCGCGGCGGCGGCCTCTCCCCATGGTCTCCTCCCGCGGCCCCTGGCCCTTAGCCCGTCCCATGTCATGGTGACCCGGACGGAGGCCCAGAAGAAGAGTGCGCAGCCCCCGGCGGGCGTCCAGCGCACTCGCCGCATGTCCCGCGCCATGGGGTGTCCCACGGGCGGGCTGCGAGGGGCGCTGAGTCGTTGGCAGACCGCCGGGGACAGCCCTATATATATCCTTTAAAGCTCTCCCGTGTCTGCCCGGGGGGCCCGCGGCGGGTAGACAACCGCTGGCGGCATGCGGTCGAAAGGAAAAGGAGGAGGAGGAGGAGGAGGAGGAGGAGGAGGAGGAGGAGGAGGAGGAGGAGGAGGAGGAAAGGGCCAGCTCAGCCTTTTGCTTGCGGCCCCAAGCGGAGGGGCTGGCAGGTCTTGGCAGGGCTGGGCCGTCTGGCCCGCCCGCCCTCGTGCGTGCGCGCTCGCCTGGTGCGCGCCCGCTGTTCTTCCTGCTCCGCCTTTGGGACCTCGAGCCATTCCTCTCCATTCCATGCCACGCCATGCCGTGCCATGCCATGTCATGCCATGCTACCCCAGCCCATCCCATCCCATCCCATCCCATCCATCCCTTTTCATTCCATTCCATTCCAGCCCAGTCATTTTCAGTCCCTTCCAGTCCATGACATTACATGACATTACATCGCATGCCCTCCCATCTCCCATCCCATCGCATCCCACCCAATTCCGTTCTATTCCATTCCTTCCCATTCCATTCCGTTCCATTCCATTCCATTCCACTCCATTCCGTTCCGCTCTTCCTTTTGCTCTTGTCCTCCCCTCGTCCTTCTTTCCCTGGTAGGAAGCTCCAGCAGGCTGACACAGGTTTCCTCCTCCTCCTCTTCCTCCTCCTCCTCCTCGGCCGTTCGTCGTTGCTGTCGCTCTACGGTCAAGAAGGTGAAGCTACGGAACAGTTGAGGTGCAGAAGGGGTTTTGTGTCCCTTCTGAAATGCTCTTCGCTGTAGTAGCTCGACTGTGCTCCTGCCGCGCAGCGCTGAAACCATTGAGGTCCACACCATTGAGTTTCTGAAAACCCCCCATTCCTCATCATCGTGCGTGTATTCAACAAACAACTCAGGCCGTTGAGCCAAGGAGGCTTGTGCACCCGAGGGGAAGTCGTTCAAAGGGATCCTCCGCAGCATCCTCCCTCTCACAGCTCTCCCTCCTCCTCCTCCTCCTCCTCCTCCCACATAGCGCTGAAACCATTGAGGTGCATAGCACGCCGAGTCCGAGTCCGTGTCCTCTCCGCCCTCAGCCATCAAAAGCTCAAACTTCGTTATAGTGCCCCCCCAGAGATCCGACGCTCCAACCCAAAATTGGAGCGGCTGGCTTTTGGCCGTTTGCGGCCTCTGGGGGCCCCCGCCGGGTTGCCGACCCGTCAGAGCACGACTCCGGGCGACAAGCAGGTCCTGGGGAAATGGCCCCGACCTCCCGGGCCCACGCATCGAAGAACCGCTGGAGCGGCCGGACGTCTGGGCCCCTATTATATAGTTGCCTCATTGGCTAGCTCGGGCGGGCGATCCCCGGCCGAATATCTCCAGCCCGCCCGCGCCCGGAGCCATGGCCCCCGGCGGTGCGCCCAGCGTGCCTGCGCCCGGCTCGCCTGCCTCCGCGGCCGTGCCCCTGCCTCTGGGCCTGCTCCTCAGCGCGCACGGGGGCCCTCTCGCCGCACCCCCCGGCCTCGCCGACGCCTCCTCGGCGGCCGCGCCCCCCACCCTCGTCGACGCCTCGGCTGCGCGCCGGGCCAAGCGCGAGCGGGCACCCCTCTGTGGGCCCTCGCGCGGCGGCGCCGGCGGCGCGCCAGCGGGCCGCGGCGGCGGTGGGCTCGCCGAGGGCGGGGCGGAGGCGGGGCTGCCGAAGCCACTTGGGGTGGAGCCCCGGTGGTGGGCCGCCAGCCTCGCCGACGCCTCGTCCGCCGCGCCCCCCGTCTTTGACTCCCTGCTCGCCGCGCCCCCCGGCCTCGCCGACGCCTCGGCCGAGGCACCCTCCAGCCTCGTCGGCGCCTCGGCTGCGGGCAGGGCCGAGCGCGAGCGGGCACCCCTCTGTGGGCCCTCGCGCGGCGGCGCCGGCGGCGCGCCAGCGGCGCGCGGCGGCGGTGGGCTCGCCGAGGGCGGGGCGGAGGCGGGGCTGCCGAAGCCACCTGGGGTGGATCGGGCCGGACGAAAGGGGGGGATAGGGAAAGGGGGGGTTACGAAATCTGTTGCATGCAGCTGGTTTCGGCCGCCGGGCCCATTCCTCGATACACATGGGCGCCCCCCGGCGCCGGGAGGCGCCGGGAAAATCAGCTGCGTGAGCTGATTCTCGAACCCCCCCGTTGCTATCCCCCCCTTTCGCCCGACCCGAGGTGGAGCCCCGGTGGTGGAGCCAGTCTCAGCACGGCGAGCTGCTGTGCCCGCTCTCCGAGTTCCCCAGCCGGGGGAGCAGGCCGTGGCAGGAGCGGGAGCCTTCGGCGCTCCGCGCGCCCAGGCATGATGTCGCATCGTCGCAAAAAGTCAGGGCGGGGAGCTTGGTCGCTGTTTTCGACCCCTGGAGGCCCTCGCCGGGCCCCAGGACCGTCAAGAAACGGCTCAGGATGAAAAACCGGCTCCGGGGAACGGGTCGCAGGCCAAGAGGTTGACACCAACACCAAGATCGGCGGTGTGCCTCCACGGAGATAATAGGGTCCCGATCTCGGTGATGGTGGTAATATTCTGGCTTCCAGGGTGGCCGAAATATTGCCACCAACGCCGAAATCTAGGACCATCTTCCCCCTGTGGAGGCACCCCCCGAGAACTGGTGTTGGTGCCGACTTCCAGGCCTCCGAAAGGGTCTGGACTTCCGGGGACGCCGTCCTGAAAAACATCAGGACGTCGCATGTCTGGACGCAGGCCTCCGAGCTGCACTGGCGCCCCCCGGGCCGGCGCGCCCTGGCGCCGCTGGGGCCCAAGGGGGGCCCAGCGCCGGCCCGAGAGACCCGCGCGGACCTCCGAGGGGTGACGCTCGTGCCACCGCCTCCTCCTCTGCCGTCAGCCTGCTGCCGTACCCGCCCTTCAAGCTGCGCATGGGGCGCGGCCGGGCGTGCCCGCACCGGCTGGTGGACGGCAAGCACCTGGCGCTGCAGCTGATCGTGGGGGGCGCCGCCGGCCTCGAGGTCTGCGGCCGCGCCCTCCAGGCCTCGGACATCGCCGCCCTCGACGAGTACGTCCACCGCTGCAAGCTGGGGCCCTTCCGGCCGGGGCGAGCGATGGAGCTGCAGAGGTCTGGGCCTCCCAGATGGGGCATCCGAGCAGCTGGGATCCCAGACATGATGGCGTCGTAAAAAAATCAGGACGGGCGGTTTTTGGGTATTTTCGCCCTCTAGAGGTCCTCGCCAGGCCTCGGGACCGTCAAAAAACGACTCAGGACGAAAAACCGGTCTCGGGGAAAGGGTCGGGACTTGCGGGGACGCCGTCCTGAAAAAATCAGGACGTCGCATGTCTGGGATCGGAGGGTCGTGCCCCGTCCCCAGTGCATCGGCGGTGCGGCTCGGTGTGGAGCCCGATTTTCTCCACGGCGCCGGCGCCGATGCGTCGGCGCTGCATCGGCGATTCTGCGCGATCCTTCGACCCCATCCAGAGTCACGGTCAGCCCTAATACATAGTAAGGGCGATCGACTTCAGACGGGTGCCCTTGCATCCTTGCCTCTTCGGTCATCTTCGTCCCATCCTCCACCACTTTCGATGGCCAGCCCCGCTCGAAGAGCCTCGGCATGGGCGCCCACTGCCCTTGCACCCCTACCGCGCGTCCTTCCTATAGATGGGCTGGCTGTATATACTCGGACCCCCTTCGGGAGGCCTCCTGCGAGGGCAGCCGACGCCGCGGGCTCCCCCCTCGAGCGGGCCAGCGCCCGCGAGCACCTCGAGCGCTTCTGCAGCTCGGCCCGCGCGGAGCTGGGGCGGCTGTGCCGGATCCAGGCCAGCCGCCTGCGGCAGGCCCGGCGGCGGGCACCGAGCCCAGCCCTCGCCTTCTGATGTTCCAGCCTACTTTAGCCTTGATCACCAGAACCCAGACATGATGGCGTCGTAACAAAAATCAGGACGGGAGGTTTTCGGCTATATTTTCGGCCCCTGGGGGCCCTCGCCGGGCCTCGGGACCGTCAAAAAACGAGTCAGGACGAAAAACCGGCCCCGGGGAAAGGGTCTGGACTTCCAGGGACGCCGTCCTGAAAAAATCAGGACGTCGCATGTCTGGGTTAGCCTTGATCACCAGAAAGAATCTCGAGCGCCAGAAAAAAGTACCGAAACTCAAGAGGGTTTTCACGTGTCGGGTCCTGCCAGGCACTCGCCCGACGCTGTTCCGACACTCTCTTGACATTCTTCTGACACTTTGCTGGGTGCTCGGAATTATCTCTGGGATGTGGTCCTTAAGTAGGATGGGAACAACATAACCCTCGCCGATCCGCGAGTCGGGCAGCTCGGCCGGCTGCAGGGCTCGGCTTCGTCGAAGACGCGGCGAAAGCCGAGCCCTGCGCCCGCATCCGGGTCGGCTCGGGAGAGTCGCTGGTCGGTGCGGGTAGGGCTTCCAGACATGATGGCGTCGTACAAAAATCAGGACGGGCGGTTCTTCGCCATTTCCGGCCCCGGGGGGGGCTCGCCGGGCCTCGGGACCGTCAGCAAGCGACTCTGGACGAGAAACTGGTCCCAGGGAGAGGGTCGGGACGCCCAGGGATCCCGTCCTGACAGAATCCGGGCGTCGCATATGTCTGGGTTCGGATGTCGC